GAGCGGGCTCTAGGAGGTGGGGGGTCGGGGGGCTTCGAGAGGGCGAGTTGGCCGGGATCAGGCTCTGAGGGGCCCTACGAAGTTAGGCTTGGAGGCGTGCCCGGTCGGGGCGGACCTTAGTGGGGGGCTGGCCTTTTGGGGACCGGAGGCAGTCCCCGGGCGTCTAGGGAGCAGGCTTTTGTCGAGTGCCCTAAGGGGGCGGGCTCTGAGGCGGGTGCGGGGGAAGTGGGGGCGCGCCCCAAGGGAGCTGGGCTTTTTGAGGACCGGCTTAGGGGCTTGGGGCTGGGCTCCGTGGGAGTCTATATGGGCGGGGTTTAGAGGGAGCGTGCCCTGGGGAACAGGTCAAAGGGCTCTAAGGGGCAGGGCCTGGGGCGGGGCCTTGGCTGGCTCCAGACTGTGGGTGGGGCTCTGGGGGGGCAAGGCCTGGTGGGGCTGGGCCGGGTCCGGGGTGGTGGTGGTGGGTTCACTCAGGTCGGAACACCTGGGGCCCCTCATTCGCCTTGGGGTTATGCCAGCAGTTTATTTTGGGCCTCAGTACACCCCTTGGTGACATGTCAGGGGCTACGGGTCACCCAGGCTGGAGTGCAGGGGCGCCATCACGGCTCACTGCAGCCTCGAACTCCTGGGGCTCAAGCGATCCTCCCGTCTCAGCCTCCTGAGTAGCCGTGACGACAGGCTCACTGCACCACACTCAGCTAATGTTTTTTTTTTTTTGTAGGGACGGTGATCTCACTTTGCTGCCCAGGCTGGTCTCCGTCTCCTGGGCTCAAACCATCCTCCCGCCTCGGCCTCCCAAATACTGGAATTACAGGCGTGCGCCGCAGTGCCCGGCGGAGCCCAGGAACTCTGAATGCTCCTTCCTAGGCCGTCCGCAGATGGGGGGACGGGGGGCGGGGCGAAGGCATGCTCCCCCATCCCTGGTCACTGCTTGGCTGGAGGATGGGGGTGCATAGCTACAGGCCAGGGGCCACCTAGGGCGGGGGGCGGGTGTGGTCGCCAAACTCTGCGCGATCACCGGAGTAACGGAGTGGGGGCCATTTGAAGAATGAGGAAATGGGGAGAGGCGCCTCAGCGGGTTTTGAGGCCCGAGGGGCAGCTCCCACGTGGCTGTGGTCCGCCCACTCGCTCCGGAAGTGTCCGAGTTCAGATGCTGTGCTGCGGCGCAGGCGGCGGGAGCAGCGCCCTCTCTGATCCTCCCGCCTCTCCCTTGTTGATTGGGAACTGCCCTTGCAAATCGGAGAGACCTGACCACTCCCCCCAGGCGCCCCCAATCCCGGCTGTTGTGGTTCCTAAACGATCGTGCCGGGAACACAATGAAGCTCCCAGAACGTATTACATTGTATTAAAATGGCTTGTTTATCTCCACGTTGCATCAGTGACCCCGGGGCCAGGATCCTTGGTTGCCAGACTTCCCGGGGCCACTTGGAATGCCGCCTCCACCTGGGACTAGTAGTGCCCTTTGGCCTCAGTCTCCCCAGTTGACAAATGGGGAGTCATCTGCACCTCCAGGACCGCTTTGTGAATTACTTAGGGAACCGGCTTGAAGCCAGCACTCCCGGGGCTACAGCTCCATCCCCTCAGCAAAGGCTACATTTTATGTACTATCATTTATATTTGCCTTGTGTTTTCCCAGATTGGCACCTGAAAAGGGTTTGTTAATTTCATGAGCATCAAGGGGTCCCTTCCTCCCTCCTCCTCTTCCCCTTCACGGTCTATGGTTCCCTGCCACCTACGCCCCTCTCCCCCGCCCCCACCACTCCAGGTCCAGGAGAATTTGCCAAGGGTTTGGGGGAACATTCAACCTGTCGGTGAGTTTGGGCAGCTCAAGCAAACCATCGACCGTTGAGTGGACCCTGAGACCTGGAATTGCCACCCTCCTGCCGGTAACTCTGACCTTCCAGATCTAGGGGGACCAGGGGAGCCCCTGACCCAGCCTGGGCACACCCCCTCCCCTAAGCCACAGCCAAGGTCACAATCAACATTCATTGTTGTCGGTGGGTTGTGAGGAGCGAGGCCAGACCCACCGGGGGATGAATGTCACTGTGGCTGGGCCAGACATGGCTTAAGGGGAATGGGGACAGGGGACAGGACCCCACCTCCACCCCCAGAGTAACTCAGCCTGCTTTTTGCCCAGACCCCAGCCACTCCTCTTTGGAGAGGAGAGCCGGTGTCTGGGATCTGGATGGACTCTGGCTGGATTTGGGACTATTAGAGGGTTGGGTGGCGGGTACACAGGCTAGGGTAGGGCAGCTAAAGTCCCTTCTTTTTTTTTTTTTTTTTTTTTTTTTGAGACGGAGTCTCGATCTGTCGCCCAGGCTGGAGTACAGTGACGTGATCTCAGCTCACTGCAACCCCTGCCTCCCGGGTTCAAGCGATTCTCCTTCCTCAGTCTCCCAAGTAGCTGGGACTACAGGCACCTGCCACCAAACTGAGCTAATTTTTGTACTTTTAGTAGAGAAGAGATTTCACTATGTTGGTCAGGATGATCTTGAATTCCCGAACTCAAGTAATCCTCCCACCTCAACCTCCCAAAGTGCTGCGATTACAGGCATGAGCTGCTTCCCGTGGCCTAAAATCCGTTTCTGAATTGTGGGTGGTGAGTTCTGCTCCCTGGAGTGCTCAGTCGTTTTGTTTTTTAAATTAGAGACAAACTCCTGACCTTGTGATTGCACCGCCTCAGCCTCCCAAAGTGCTGGGATTACAGGTGTGAGCCACTGTGCCTGGCCTTTTTTCTTTTTCCAGACAGTCTCACTCTGTCACCCAGGCTGGAGGGCAATGGCACGATCACGGCTCACTGCAGCCTCTAATTACTGGGCTCAAGCGTTGATCCACCTGCCTCAGCCTCCCCAGTAGCTGAGACCACAGGCATGCACCACATCACACCTAGCTTATTGAAAAAATGTGTTTGTAGGAACAGGGTCTTGAATTTTGCTAAGGCTGGTCTCCAACTCCTGGTCTCAAGCCATCCTTCCTCAGCCTCTCAAAGCGAGTTACAGTGCCTGGCCAACAAAAGTTTCTTTTTTCTTCTTCTTTTTTTGAGATGGAGTCTTGCTCTGTTGCCCAGGCTGGAGTACAATGGCACGATCTCTGCTCACTGCAACCTCCACCTCTTGGGTTCAAGCGATTCTCCTGCCTCAGCCTCCCGAGTAGCTGGGACTACAGGTGTGTGTCACCATGCCCAGCTAATTTTTTGTATATTTAGTAGAGACAGTGTTTCACCATGTTGACCAGGATGGTCTCGATCTCTTGACCTCGTGATCCACCTGCCTCGGCCTCCAAAGTGCTGAGATTACAGGCATGAGCCACCGCGCCTGGCCCCCCCCAACCCCCCCCCCTTTTTTTTTTTTTTTTTGAGACGGAGTTTCGCTCCTGTTACCCAGGCTGGAGTGCAATGGCGCGACCTCGGCTCACCGCAACCTCCGCCTCCTGGGTTCAGGCAATTCTCCTGCCTCAGCCTCCTGAGTAGCTGGGATTACAGGCACGCACCACCATGCCCAGCTAATTTTTTGTATTTTTAGTAGAGACGGGGTTTCACCATGTTGACCAGGTTGGTCTCGATCTCTTGACCTCGTGATCCACCCGCCTCAGCCTCCCAAAGTGCTGGGATTACAGGCTTGAGCCACCACGCCCGGCCTTTTTTTTGGTATTTTTAACAGAGACAGGGTTTCACCATTTTAGCTGGTCTTGAACTCCTGACCTCAGGTGATCCGCCTGTCTCGGCCGCCCAAAGTGCTGGGATTACAAGCATGAGCCACCCTGCTAGGCCTGGTAGTTGTCTTTATAAATAACTGGATGGGCAGGTGGCTTCAAACCTGTTTGCTCATCCATGAAATGGGGGTTCCACTAAGAAAACCATGTGAAAACTCTTGGAGGGAGACCTCCAGGATCCTTCCTCCCTACCCAGCCCCCACCAGCCCATGAGCCTGGAACCTCCACAGTGTTTTAGGAGACAGCTGGAGCATCAGCAACCTCCCCCGGACTCATAACACACACAAAGAGCCCAGAGGCACCTGGCCGTTCCCCCGCCCAGGGGAAGGAAGAAAAAGTTAGAAAGAAGTTACTAAGTTACTGGTAACTGCTAGTCTTCGGGGGTGGGGTTTCCAACCATTCCTCCCCATCCACCAGTGGGGCTGGAGGGCAAAGGACTCCTACAAGGAGGGGAGGCATGGTAGCCCCCCAATTCCCCGGAGGTGTGTACATGGGGTGTGGGGCACATCTTTGGGTATCCCCCCACCTGTGTCCTGCTGGCCCCCAGGACAGCCGGAGGCCATGCAGGCCCTTGGGAGGTGCATTAATGGGGCACCAAGCCCCCCTGTGACAATAGGGAACCTCCCACAGCCTGCTCCTCCCTCTTCACACCCACTTGGAAGTAAAAGGAGGGTCGGCCAGCCCAGACTCCCAGGCTCCGGAGAGGGGAAGGAAGGGGCAGCAGAGAGGGGCAGAAGGAGGGAGCGTGGGCCAGGCAGGGTTTCTTGTCGCTGTGTCTCCCAGCTATGGGGACCTTTGATCTGTGGACAGATTACCTGGGTTTGGCACGCCTGGTTAGGGCTCTGAGTGGGAAAGAGGAGCCTGAGACCAGGCTGAACCCCCAGCCAGAGCCAGAGGGGCCAGTGCCAGAGCCGGTGCCAACACCAAGAGCCCAGGAGGAGCAGCACTGGCTGGAGCCCGCGCCAGCTCCCGAACGCCTGTGTTCTTTCTGCAAACACAACGGGGAGTCCCGGGCCATCTACCTGTCCCATGTGCTGAAGGACGAGGCCGGCAGGGTGCTGTGTCCCATCCTGCGGGACTACGTGTGCCCCCAGTGTGGCGCCACGCGTGAGCACGCCCACACCCGACGCTTCTGCCCGCTCACCGGCCAGGGCTACACCTCCGTCTACAGCCACACCACCCGAAACTCGGCGGGCAAGAAGCTGGTCCGGCCTGACAAGGCGAAGACACAGGACTCAGGCCACCGCCGAGGAGGAGGAGGAGGAGGAGGAGGAGGAGGAGGAGCAGCGGGTGCCTGCACAGGTGGCTGGGGTTGGGGGGACCTGTCCCAGGGTAGGGGCTGAGCCCTCTGTGAAGTAAAATTAGTCCCCGTACCTACCTCCAACGGTTGGGGGAGAGCTTAGAGAGAGCTTAGAACAGCAGTTTATTGTATTATTTATTATTACTATTTTTAGATGGGTCTCACTCTTGTCACCCCAGGCTGGAGGTCATTGGTGTGATCCTCTGCTCACTGCAGCCTCTGTTTCCAGGTTCAAGCAATTCTTCAGCCTCAGCTTCCTGAGTAGCTGGGATTACAGGCCTCTGCCACCCGGTTATTTTTTGTACTATTAGAGATGGGGTTTCACCATGTTGGCCAGGCTGGTCTTGAACTCCTGACCTCAGGTGATCTGCCCACCTTGGCCTCCCGAAGTGCTGGGATTACAGGTGTGAGCCACTGTACCCAGCCCACAAAGAAGACTTTTATGATTTTGTTTTTACTTACTTATTTTTTTTTATTTTTTATTTTATTTTTTTTTCTATTTATTTATTTATTTAGAGAGGGAGTTTCATTTCGTCGCCCAGGCTAGAGTTCAATGCTGCTATCTTAGCTCGCTGCAACCTCCGCCTCCCGGGCTCGAGCAACTCTCCTGCCTCAGCCTCCCAAGAAGCTGGAATTACAGGCATGCACCACCATGCCTGGCTGATTTTTTGGGGTATTTTTAGTAGAAACAGGTTTTCACCATGTTGGCCAGGCTGGTCTTGAACTCTTGACCTCAAGTGATCTGCCCGACTCGGCCTCCCGAAGTGCTGGGATTATAGGCAGGAGCCACTGCGCCCAGTTGGTTATTACAGATACAGAAAAAAGAACTGACCGGGCGCGGTGGCTCACATCTGTAATCTCAGCACTTTGGGAGGCCAAGGCGGGCAGATCACGAGGTCGGGAGTTCAAGACCAGCCTGACTAACATGGTGAAACCCGTCTCTACTAAAAATACAAAAATTGCCCTGCCGTGGTGGCGCGTGCCTGTAAACCCAGCTACTTGGGAAGCTGAGGCAGGAGAATCGCTTGAACTGGGAGGTGGAGGTTGCAGTGAGCCGAGATCACGCCATTGCACTCCATCCTGGGCGACAGAGCAAGGCTGTTGTCTCAAAAACAAACAAAAACAAACAAAACGGCCGGGCGCGGTGGCTCACGCCTGTAATCCCAGCACTTTGGAAGGCTGAGGCGGGCGGATCACGAGGTCAAGAGATCGAGACCATCCTGGTCAACATGGTGAAACCCCGTCTCTCCTAAAAAGACAAAAATTAGCTGGGCGTGGTGGCACGTGCCTGTAATCCCAGCTACTCAGGAGGCTGAGGCAGGAGAATTGCCTGAACCCAGGAGGCGGAGGTTGCGGTGAGCCGAGATCGCGCCATTGCACTCCAGCCTGGGCGGCAGAGCAAGACTCTTGTCTCAAAAAAAAAGAAAAAAGAAACAAAAGTATGAAAGACTGCGTCCGGGATGTTCCCTGTGAGGTTTGATGCGGTCCCACTGGGAGATGCTGGAGGCTAAAAGGCCATAGGGAAGATGGTGTCCGGATTTTCCGGTTTTCCCTTTAAACCCTAGGTAGTAGGAAAACTTGCTTCCCTGGGCTTGGAGGCCGGGGCCGGGGGAGCCCCCACCACCGCATTGGCACAGAAAGGCTGCCCGCGGCCGGCCTCCCTGTTAATTTCTTCTGGGGGCATCCCAGAGCCCGGCGGCCACGAGAGGGCAGCATGGTCGCGGAACCGGAACTCCTGCGCTTTGTCTCCGCTCTGGGTCCCGGCGGGGCCTCCCGACCGAGCCGGGGACGTAACGGGGTCGCTGTCTCCGGAGCAGCCCCTGGGTGGCGCCAAAGCCCCGGCAACCCCGGAGGCCGAGTCCTTGGGTAACGTGGGGAGCTTTGAGTCATCGCCTGTGATTAAGTATTTCTCTCCCTCCTCCTCCTCCGCCAGGTTTCAGAGGTGCCGGGAAGTCTGAGCCTTCGCCGCCCTCCGGCTCTCCCTCCATGTCCACCTAGGAGGCCGCCTCCACCCGGGGAAGGGCACCTGGGCTCCGCCGAATTGCCAGGAAGATCACCTTAAGAGGACCGTCCCTACTCCCAGACCCTTCTCCCAGCTTGGGCTCGATCCCTGGGACGCAGAGGCTGCCTGGGGTTGGCGAAGGAACAGCTGAAATCGCCCCGTCCTGGGGGACCCCGCCCTTTCTGCCGTGGCCTGTTCCGCTCACAGCTGCCATCTTCCGGACGCTGGGCAGCCAGTCAACACTCAATAAATGCTTATGAATGGATCAGCGACGGACAAGGCCTGGTCTTGGGACAAGGTGTAGTGTGAACCTTGCTAGGAGTCCTGTACCCAGGTCTCCCCTTGTTGTTCTCTGAATTCCGGGATCCTGGGGTGCCAGGGTGGGCTGCTTTGTGCAGAGAAACCTTGGGGTAGCCTGGGGCAGGGGTTCCGGCACCTCAAAGCCAGATTGAGATCACGAGACCCTTTCTGTGGACATTTGGTCTTTCCAAACTCCCCTCCAGCCTTCCCCTGCACTGACATGTAAGATGGGTGGACTCCCCCGATCTCACCCCCAGCCCTGTACTGGAGGTGGGGGCTTCATTTGAGGAAGAAATTAAGGGACAGCTAGACAGAGGCCCCCCATCTTCCTTATGAAGGAAGGTGAATGTGTATGTTATGGATGTACCGGTGACAAGCCGGGCAGTTTAGAGCAAGGGAGAGACACTTAAGGGGCAGAGAATGGGACCATGTTCTGGAGGGTTGGGGGCCTGGGTAGGTTTGGGCAGGAGCGGGAGAGAAATGGGACTGTCACCTTGGCAGGCAGGACAGGGGGATGGGGGGTTGAATGTGAGGGAATCCCCATGCCCCTGCCTGCCGCCTCCGCCCCCAGATCTTGTCCTGCTGGGGTGACAGGTGACAGTGCTTAGGAAGCCAGAGCGCCCACTGTGCAGTCCGTATTCCACCCTTGGTCCACAAACCGGCCCTGGGGTCTGGGCGCCGTGCTCACACAGCCTCCTGCGGTCTTGGGGTGGGGAGCAGGAGGCTTTCCAACTTGAACTGGAACCAGAGGCCCTGGGGAGGGGGTTGGGCCTTTGCAGACAGCTGGGGCTTGGAGGGGAGGAGAGTAGGAGAAAGGAAACAGAAGGACCCCAGTGGCCCCCAGGGTTTCCTGGGGCAGAGCCGCTGGGGAGGAGACCCGGGGGACTGGGCTCACCGAGGCAGGCATGTCCTGGTGGGCAGGGGCTCATACCCGCCCTGCTCTTTCCTCCCCTCCTGCATTGAGTCGCCAGGGTGTATGGTCACAGGGTGGGAAGCAGATCCTGTTTGAGCTGTGGGAGCTGGAAGGCAGGAGTCAGGATGCTTCATGATGGCAAAGGTCCAGTCAGCCTTTCTGTGACAAGTTTCACAGAGACATAGTTTGCTGTGAACTGGGAATGACAGCAGCACCGGTGGCTGCTACAGGATTGTCACCTGGCTGTTGTGAGGCTTGCGTGGGATGAGGGGTAGCACATCTTTAGCTGTGTTTGCATGGTGACAACCTCCAGGGATGACCCCCTTCCTGGCTGGGGCCTGCAGGCAGCTTGTCCGGTGAGGAGGGGCCGGGCCACCTGAGCGCTGGACTCAAACCCTGTGGCCCACTGATCGCCCCGGGCGTCTCTTAGGCTTCTGCTCCACAGGTGCCTGTGTGAGTGCTCAAGGGCCTGCACAGACACCGGCACACGGTCACCTGGCCCTGGAAACTCGACCCCCACTTGCTTTCCCAGGAAAGCTGAGGCATAAAACTCGCAGAGGATGGGGGAGGACGAAGTGGGTAGAGAGGTTTGTGGGCAGAAGGTGAAGGAGCTGAAGCCTCAGCCCCAAACACCACATGGGGCCTCATTCCAGAATAATTTATTGTGGGTCTTCCCAGAAGAAATAAAATGGAAATCGGGAGAAAGAAAACAAAGGGAGCTCTCTTCTCGAGGAAAGAAACAAATTCTGAACCTTCCGTAACCTTGACTCAGGAGCCTAACATTTGCAAATCCAAACAGGATGGGCCCTGCTTGGAGGCAGCCATGGCGGGCTTCCTAGAGTTCAGGCCCGCCTGAAGCCACTGGGGCTGCTGACCTTGACCCTGGCCAGGCGAGGACCTCAGAGCCCCTCTGTGTGGTCCATTAGAGACCAACTTCCGGGCAACTGAAGGGGGTTTGTGGGGTCCGTTAGGACCCCCGGGAGCATCTTGAAGATCAAAAGTACCAGGTCACCCAAGGGGGCCCAAAGGCATGGGGGCTGGGTGGCAAAGGAAAAAGACCTCAAAGCCTCCGACAACTCCCTGCAGCGTTGGTCCCCTCGAGGGACGTCCCCAGGTCCCTTTGAAGGGTGAGGCAGTGCGCTTTGCCTCCTGGCTTTGTCTTCCTGTAGTTGAGGCGCTTGAAGGCTTCCAGGTCCCGGTGGGTGCCCATGAGCAGCCGGCTTTGGGGGAAACAGGCACGTGTGTGGGGCTCAGCGGTCACCAAGTGACAGAGGGGGCCACATGGTCACTGATGACTCAGAGGTGCACACAGCTCACACGTGCACACCACCAGAAAGCGCCTGTGGCAGCACAGGCCGGGCCTGTTCCAGCCCTTCAGAGCCCGTGTTCTGCAAAGGACGGGAGAGGGACACGCCGAGGGCCCAGCAGCAGTGGGGTGCCTGACCCTCGCCGCCCGCCCAGGGGCTTTGCCCTTCAGTCCCTCCCTGCTCCTCCGGGTCCCCACTGGCCTCCCGCAGCCCCCGTGCCCTGTGAGTCCAAGCCCACCCCATACTTCAGGTTGGAGAGCTCAACGATGAGGCCACGCACGATGTTGGTGGCGTCCTCCATCTTGGGGGCCTCAGAGGCCTGGATCCCCAGGAAGGTCCTGGCAGGCAGGGACGAAGCAGGGAAGAAGTTGAAAAGTGGCCGAACCTCACCGGACTACCAGAGCTCTCCAGCAGGAGGGGCTTCTGCCGGCCTTTCCAGGTGTCCAGCCTGTCCTCTGTTCACGACAGAGCCCTGACGGCCAACTCAGCTGGCTCCACCACCCAGCAGGCCCAGGGCCCAGCCCCTTCTCCCCTGCCTCCCCCTGCCCTCTTGCTCCCCGCCTGCAGCAGACACTGAATGTGGAAACCTGGCTCAGAGGCAGGCCCTCCCCTCCCGGTGGCCCATCCCTCAGGCCCTGCACCACCTGCCTGCCCCGTGCCCTCTCCTCGTCCCCCCTTCTCCCTTCCCCCCTGCTCCGGCCACCCTGGAGTCCTGGCCATTCCTGGAGCACCTCTCACTCCACACGGTTCCCCGAAGCCTCCTCCTCGGTGGTGGGGGGTGGACGGTGGCTCCTCTGAGCACCCCTTACATTTTAACTTCTTCTCTGCTGCCTTTTTCTCCCCAGCACTCTGCCATCTGATCATCTAATCTGCTCTCTGTCTCTCATGTCCCCACATCCTGAATCCCCCACTAGCACCAAACTCTGTTTTCCCACACTGCCTCACCAGCACCCAGGGCAATGCCAGAAAAGCTGGCCCCAGATGGCATTCATATCCATGGAAAGTTTGGCAGGCCCGGGCGGGAGGATGGCCTGAGGCCAGGAGTTCAAAACCAGCCTTGGCAACATAGTGAGACCCCATCTCTACAAATAATATAAAATTGGCCAGGCATGGTGGTGCATGCCTGCCATCCCAACAACTCAGGAGGATGAAGTGGGAGGATCACTTGAGCCCGGGAGATGGAGGCTATAGTAAGCTATGATCGCACCACCACACACCAGCCTGGGCAACAGAGCAGATTCTATATCAAAAATATACCGCCAGGCACTGTGGCTCATGCCTGTAATGTCACCATGGCAAAATCTCATCTCTAAAAAAATATACACAATTAGCCGGGTATGGTAATGGGCTAATTTTGTGTGAGACCACCTGTAGTCTTAGCTACTTAAGAGGCTGAGGTGGGAAAATCACACGAGTGAGCCCAGGAGAGGCTGCAGCAAGCCGAGGTGGTGCCACTGCACTCCGACCTGGTGATGGGAGTGAGACGGTGTCTCAAAAAAAAAAACCACGGAAGAGCAGAGCAGAGGAGCCACAGAACAGCTGCCACTCAGGCACAGGCACTGCAGGGGGCAGGTGGGGAAGTGGGAGTCACCCACCCTAAACCTGCCCATGACCTAGGCTTGGCAGCACCTCTGGGACTGCCACTTTGGAAACTGCCGTCCTGCTCCTCCTGCCTTGGTTCCCCCAAGTTGGCTGGCAGCTCTGGGCCTTAGCCTCTTGTCTGTGTCATTCAGCCTTAAGCCACCAAACCAGACCCCAGGACCCACTGGGAGCTTCCAGACATCCAGGGCAGTGCGGAGGGGAGCTGCATTGGCCCGGATGTGAAATCAAACCACAGCGGCCTGCTCTGATGAACTGCCTCTGGTCCACTCACAGGTTGTGTGCGTGGATGGGGGAGGCGGCCAGTGGCACAGCAGTTGCAAGTCCCAGGGAGTAAGGGCAGGAGGTAGGGACAGAGCCACCCTCTGCTGTGGGGGAGAGGAAGAGGAGCGGGAGGAGGCGGGTGGGGGGGGGAAGGGGAGGGGGAAGGGCAGAGTAAGGGCCACACACACAGCTAAGGGCTGAGTCCCAAAAAACCCTCCTCCACCCCCACGCCCCTCCCCCCACCAGACAGAAACAGAAACTTGGCCATAAATAACTGATAAGCCACTGCCTCTGCAAAGAGGCAGGTTCAAGTACCAGGTAACAGAAAGGGTGGCTGGCTGCCCAGTGCTGGCTTTGAGGAAGGCTTTGGGAGGGCAGGGGAGGACGGGACAGGCTGCAGGGACCCTGGGCATGGTGTAGGGAGAGGGTGCCCTCCTCACACACAGCAGGCTGAAGCACGGCTCAGCCTGTGGGAGGGAGGAAGTGCATCACCTGGGGCAGGAGCCAAGGGGGGAGGGGAGGAGGGGAGGGCAGGTTAGACTCACTCCAACACCCGCCTGGTGCCAGAGCTAGTAACAGCTCCAAGGCGGTCTCAGCCACCGATTCGATTCGGAGCCCTATCTGGGTCCTCTCCCCTTCCCAGAGACTCAGGAGGAAGCTCTGGCCCCTCCTCCCAGAGAGAAACAACCCACAGAGCCGGGGCCCTATCCCAGGGCTCCTGAGGAGGCGCTGTTTGGGTGCCCATCACTGGTCACCGCAGCCTGTTCCTGCTTTTGGGAATCCGGGGAACGTGTGCCGTTTAAAAGACAGGGGTCAGCTCCCCTGTTGGAATGAGGAAGTCGAGGCCTAGGGAGGGAGAACTGAGGGACCTCCATCTGTCAGCCTCCGTGGTAAAACTGGTGAGGGTCCTGGAGCCCCTTCTTCCCCACCCCACACCTACCTCGGCTGGGCCCTGGCCACTGCAACAGGGTCTTCACTGGCGTGTAGGCTGGGGCCAGGCCAGCAAGGGCCTGGCTTGCTCCCCGAAGGAAAGAGCTGGAAAGAGAGCACAAGGTGTGAGCAGCCAGGCCTGGGTTGGGCAAGCTCTGCATGGAGGAACCATGAGTCATGCTGGCACCTCTGGCTTCACCGTGGCCACAGCAGGTGACACCGGGGGCAGCTGGGGCTCCTGCAGAGGAAGAGAAGGACCAGGGAGGAACTCTGCGATCGGTAGACCCGGGCCGCGCCTGCCCTGCCCCCTCAGAAAGAAAACGGCCACAGCAATGCCAAACCCAACCTTGGTGTCCGCTCCTGGGCCTGGAACTCCCACAGGCTGATGTGGGCAGTGGGGAGCCCCACTGTGCCGTGAGTTCTCTGGCCCTGACATCGCTGCAGTCTCCTGCGGGTACACAGAAAACGCCACAGAGTGGCAACCGCAGTGAAGGGAGTCCTCTACCTTGGCTGAATGAGCCGTGCACATCCCATTAGGAAACGAGTTCGCAAATACAACACGAGGGAAAAGTCCCAGTGAATACAGGGGAAAGCCAGGTACCTCCAAGGGTGGTCTGATTTCTATGGGAAATTGTCAAGCTCCATCACAGTGGTGACCTACGATGAGCCACCCTGGGCATGGTGGCTCATGCCTGTAATCCCAGAACTTTCGGAGGCTGAGGTGGGAGGACTGTTTGAGGCCAAGAGTTCCAGACCAGCCTGGGCCACATGGCAAGACCCTGTCTCTACAAAAACATTAAAAAATTAGTTGGTCATGGTGGCGCATGTCTGTGATCCCACCCACTCGGAAGGCTGAGGCAGGAGCGTTGGGAGGCTGAGGCTGCAGTGAGCTGTGACCGTGCCACTGTACTCCAGCCTGGGATACAGAGCAATTCCCTTTCTCTAAAATTTAAATTAAATTAAATGATTCCGAGAGAGTGGGATGTCTGGCTTCCCAGCGGTAACCTTTGTTGCGCCAGAGACAAAAAAGGAGAATTAAATACGGGTGATGTTGAGAAAGGCAAGAAGATTTGTGTTCAGAAGTGTTCCCAGGGCCACACCGTGGAAAAGGGAGGCAAGCATGAGACTGGGCCTAATCTCCAGGGTATCTTTGGGTGGAAGACAGGTCGGGCCGCGGGATTCTCTTACACTGACGCTGGTAAGAACACAGGCATCACCTGGGGAGAGGATACACTGACAGAGTATTTGGAGAATCCCGAGAAGTACATCCCTGGAACCAAAATGATCTTTGTCAGCATTAAGAAGGGAGAGCCGGGCATGGTAGCTCAGGTCTGTAATCCCAGCACTTTGGGAGGCCGAGGCAGGTGGATCACGAGGTCGAGAGATCGAGACCATCCTGGTCAACATGGTGAAACCCCGTCTGTACTTAAAATACAAAAAATTAGCTGGGCATGGTGGCGCGTGCCTGTCATCCCAGCTACTCAGGAGGCTGAGGCAGGAGAATTGCTTGAACCCAGGAGGCGGAGGTTGTGGTGAGCCGAGATCGCGCCACTGCACTCCAGCCTGGGTAACAAGAGCGAAACTCCGTCTCAAAAAAAAAAAAAAAAAAAAAAGAAGGGAGAAAGGACAGACTTTCGAGCTTATCTCAGAACAGCTACTAATGAGTCATAATTGGCCACTGCCTGATTTATGTGGACCGCACTTGGTCTGGCACTCGGCCTTATTTATGTGTACATACACATGTCTCATGACTTTATGTGTACCATACTTTAATAGATGTCATACGCCAGAATTTACATCATGAACGAATGACAGAATATTTTTTTGGGCAGTCCTGATTTAAAACTAAGACTGGCTTGTGGTTAAATAAGTATGTTCAATTTTTGAATTTTAATAGTAATTCCAATTTAGTAAATGCTATCACTGTTTACCCCTTCTAAAGATATGATTAGACTTCGTTAGTGATGTTAAACTTTTCACAAAGATGGTGAGTGCCATCTTAAAACTTACTGGAGATTGGTTTTATATTTAGATTTATGTAACTGGTTATGTGAATATATTTAAATATGGGGGAATTCCTTCACTGTCTCAGAACCAAGCAAGGTTCACCTGTGTTTTTTGTTCATTTGCCTCTTTTTTTTTTTTTTTTTTTTTTTTTTGAGACGGAGTTTCACTCTTGTTACCCAGGCTGGAGTGCAATGGGGCGATCTCGGCTCACCACAACCTCCACCTCCTGGGTTCAGGCAATTCTCCTGCCTCAGCCTCCTGAGTGGCTGGGATTACAGGCACACGCCACCATGCCCAGCTAATTTTTTGTATTTTTAGTAGAGACGGGGTTTCACCATGCTGACCAGGATGGTCTCGATCTCTTGACCTCGTGATCCACCCGCCTCGGCCTCCCAAAGTGCTGGGATTACAGGCTTGAGCCACCGTGCCCGGCCTCATTTGCCTCTTAAAGGCAAGGGTTGAAGATAAAGGGGTAGCAATGGCTACTTTATATTTTGGCCTTAACTATGCCAATCTAATTAGAAATCCGTGTTTAAAATGGTTTTTACTTATTGAAAGGCACTTGAGTGTGGTTTATGTGTAATATCAAAAATTATTTAATACTTCACACATTTTATAGATGATCTATAAGGTCACATGCTTTTAAAAAAATAGTAGCCAATTAAACTTCACTCTTGAATTCCTTTTTTTTTTTTTTTTTTGAGACGGAGTTTCACTCTTGTTACCGAGGCTGAAGTGCAATGGCATGATCTCGGCTCACCGCAACCTCTGCCTCCTGGGTTCAAGCAATTCTCCTGCCTCAGCCTCCTGAGTAGCTGGGATTACAGGCACGTGCCACCATGCCCAGCTAATTTTTTGTATCTTTAGTAGAGACGGGGTTTCACCATGTTGACCAGGATGGTTTCGATCTCTTGACCTTATGATCCACCCGCCTCAGCCTCCCAAAGTGCTGGGATTACAGGCTTGAGCCACCGTGCCCGGCCACTCTTGAATTCTTTACAATCTAAGTCAAACTAAGTTGTAATTTAGGATTGTCTTTAAACAGCCATTCAGAAACAAAACTGTAGAAGTGCTGTGTATTTGTGATTGGGAATGGTGCTTTTGTCAACTTAAAAGGATTAAAGTAGAGGAAATACACACAAATTTAAAAATTATGTGTGATCATAAGACTTAAGATAATTAAAAAGAAAACCACAGATCATGAAAAATAAAAATAAAATAAATTAAATGACTCCATATGCAGACTGCAGAGGCTCCACTGGTGGAGAGCGAGTGCAGAGGAGCTGTGAGAAAGTAACAGCACACTCTTCCGTGACAAGACCTTTCAGTCTGAGGTTTGAAAGCTGTCTCTGCTGTGTCCCTCCGAGTCCCCTCCTCTAGCACAGTGTGTGACCACAGTGAGGTCAGGAGGAGGCACTGAGACGCTCCTTTTGATCCGTCTTTGCTGTTCCCGGGTGCCCCTGCCCACGCCGGGAGACATGGGCCTCAGCCTTCCTGCCAGGAGCCGCCCAGAACCTTCCCACGGGAATGTGTTCCTTGCCTGGGTCGCCTTGACTTGCTGGGAAACGCCCGGTGTCAATACCAAACACGCCCAGGCCCTGGCAGTGCTGTCAGACGGGGCTTCCTCCCCTGGCCGGGGAAAGGCTGCTGATGCTGGTCGCGTCTGACCACCCTGGCTTTCTGTCGGGGTCCCCCTGAGTCTGGATTTCAGGGTCTTTTTCCAAACTCGCAGTTTGGCAGCCCGCTTAGGAGGGCTTGGGCTTCACCTGCTAGATGCCACCTTGGCACACTTGGCCCCAAACCCCCTAATCATTCCCCCAGCCTTCTCTCGAAGCCACTGCCCATGAGACCACAGACTGGAGGCACTGGAGGTGGCTCTGCTCTTGAGCTAGGGATCTGCATTTTTCAGGTGTGAGGCTCATAAAATTTCAGCTGAGCTCAGCACCTGAACTCCCGCCTTTCCCACGTGCTCGTGTTCAGGCTCTACCACTGAACCGCACTATGACTCCCATTTTTTTTTGTTGTTTGTTTTTTCTTTTTTTTTTTTTGAGACAGGGTTTCGCTCTGTCACCCAGGCTACAGTACAGTGGCATGACTCAGCTCACTGCAACCTCAACCTCCTGGGCTCAAGTGATTCTCCCTCCTCAACCTCCCAAGTAGCTGGGACTGCACCTGTGCACCCCCAAGCCCGGCTAATTTTTTTTTTTTTTTTTTGAGATAAAGTTTCGCTCTTGTTGCCCAGGCTGGAGTGCAATGGTGTGATCTCGGCTCACCGCAACCTCCGCCTCCTGGGTTCAAGCGATCCTTCTACCTCAGCCTCCCAAGTAGCTGGGATTACAGACATATGCTACCACACCTGGCTAATTTTTTATATTTTTAGTCGAGATGGGGTTTCTCCATATTTGGTCAGGCTGGTCTCAAACTTCTGACCTCAGGTGATCCACCTGCCTTGGCCTCCCAAAGTGCTAGGATTACAGGTGGGAGCCACTGTGCCTGGCCATGAATTTTTTTTTTTTTTTTTTTTTTTTTTTTTTAACATCTGAACACAAGGACAGCCAAAGAAACAGAAGCTGACATTTGAAAAGCAAACTGAGCTCTGTGTTCCAGGACACGGCGGCTGTCGTGGGGCGTGACCTCCTCCCCTCCTGCCTACCTCACCACTAGCAGGTGCAGGAACTCCAGAGTCTTCGCTGCCACACCCAGTGTGTGCACAGAGAACCACCTACCTCCCAGGGTGTGGCTGTGAAGCCCTCAGCCCAGGCTCAGGTGTGCCAACGGCTGGGGAGGTCACTCTTCCCCTGGGGGCAGGGCTGAAGCAAGGCTGCCACCTGCCCAGACAGGAGAACAAGCGCCAATGGCTGGCCCTGGCTCTGGAGCCAGAGAAGGCCACATCCAGGCAGCGTTGCTCGGGGGCAGATCCCTGAAGGAGGGAAAGCCCTTACAAGTTCCGGCAGAAAAACCAAATTACTTAGGTATGTTTGGGAAAGAATCATAACAGGATCCTCAGAGGACCCTAAGGAGATGGGCAAAGCCTCTTTGGCAGCTTGGGAGTGAAGCCCCCTCCCCAGGCCCAGCTTCTCCCCATGGCCCCACTGTGTCCACAGCCCTCAACACATCTCCTGAGACCCCATGGCCAGGGTCAAGCACTGAAGCGGAAGCTGCCAGGGGCTGGCACTCCTGGGAACTCCAATGCAGGAGGCCCTGGCTGAGAATGCAGCTTTCTGTCACCACCCTGGATGTGTCAACAACCACCAAAAGGCAGGTCTGCACTTTCTGGAAAACCACACCCACTAGAGCTGCAACTCCTAGTCAGTGGTTGTGTAAGTGGAACGCCATGAACCCCAGCTCGCCTCCACCTCTGCGCTGTGTGAGGAGGGGGCCTGTGGATGTTGGGTACCTGCCCTGGGCAGGTATGTCTGTCACCCGGGGCAGCTCTCACCTGCTCAGGTGGGGCTTCGAAGTCAGAGGCATCCAGGGCATCCTGTATCTGGCTGTCTGGCAGGAAGTCGAGTTCCACGGCTGAAGAGTCTGCCCAGGTGGCCTGGTCTGCAGAATGAGGCAGGTGCTCTCGCTGCCCTGCCAGGTCCAATGTGGTGTCTGGCCCGCCCTGCTGGGTCCCAGGCTCCTGAAGAGGGCCGTCTGCTGCTTCTTTGTGTTCCAGCAGATCAGAGGCTTGTGGGGACAGACCGAGCCCCTCGAGGTCTTGTTGAAGGTTCTGGCTACCTGACTCGGCTGCCTCTTGAGCAGGGCCTGGCTCCTGCTTCTGACCGACACATGGACCTGCGTCCAGGGCTGGATGGCCGGAATCTCCAGCCCCCAACATGGGCTGTCCGCTCCCAGGTGCCAGAGCCAGGGAGGCTACAGGGACCACTGGGACGTCATCCGGGGGGTTGTCGTCCTGTTCTGCCTCCCCTCTCCCTCCTGTGGTTTCCCCAGTGAGTGGGGTACAACCTGGCAGGGCTCTCCCGTGGCCTCCATCAGCAGCCTTCCTCTCGGGAGAGGCAGGTGATATGGCGCTGACCTGCCTGTCAGGCCTAGCCACCTCCAGAGCCTTCTCTTCCAGCTCAGTGGGGTCTGTGCTCAGGTCTGTGATGACACCCATCCTGAGGGAGGAGCATTCCAGGCTGCTATGAGTCCCTTCCCTTTCCCTGCCCATCCTGCTGGGGGTCTGCTGGGAGTTAGGGGAGCCCTGGGCCACAGTCCCGGGTTCCAGACACCAAGAGGTAGGGCCTAGTCCCAAAGCAGGGCCCGAGGTAGGAACTGATGCTGGGGCACAGGGGACATCACCTCCCTCCTCCTGGGGCCCTCCAGGCAGGCCAGCCCCTGCTGTCCTTTGGGCTCCTCCCTCCTGGGGGGCTGCTCTGTCTGGCTCCTTCCCCTCAGAATCACTGCTTGGCAGGTGTTTCTTTTGGCCATGATCACCTGGAGCCCTCTCTGTCTCATGCCTGCTATTATCGGTCCCTTGTTCTAACAGGTGGTCCTGGCTGGCCCTCTGTGAGGTGGACCACCCCGTCCCCCTGCCTGGAGGGTCCTCAGGCTGGGAATCCCCACTACTGGACACAGCTTTCATGGGGCTCTGGCTGCTCTGCTTAGGGTGGGCACCGTCTGCCTGCATTGGGTCCCCTGACTCCGTGGCCTTCTCGCGGGGGAGCCCCAGAGTCTCCGCTAGTGGCTGGCATCCTGCCTGCTGGGCGCTGGACTCTGGGAGTGTTTCCTGTGGAGAGAAAAAGACTTGGCCTCAGGGCCTTTGATAACCTAGTTCTCTGAAGAGTTTTCTATTAGGTTGCCCCAAAAGTAACTGTGGGTTTTGTCATTACTTTTAATGCCAAAAACTGACAGGGCCAAATGACTCAAGCCTATAATCTCAGCACTTTGGGAAGCTGAGGCAGGTGGATCACTTGCAGTCAGTTCAAGATCAGCCTGGCCAACAGGGTGAAACCCCATTTCTACTAAAAATACAAAAATAAGCCAGGTATGGTGGTACACACCTGTAGTTCCAGCTACTGGGGAGGCTGAGGCAGGATAATCACTTGAACCTGGGAGGTGGAGACGGTAGTGAGCCGAGATCACACCACTGCACTCCAGCCTGGGCGATAAGTGATACTCCATCTCAAAAAAAAAAAAAAAAATTATTGTAGAGACGGAGTCTTGCCATGTTGCTCAGGCCGGTCAAGGGAAGTCCCAAAATGTTGGGATCACAGGCACGAGCCACTGCACCTGGCCAGTTGCTAGTTTTGGTGATGGACTGTAGCTATGCACACTGTTACCACTGGGGGAAGTCAGAAGGGAGAACGCTGGAACTTCACTCTGCACAATTTTGTGTGTTTAAAAAATTGGTGGTAAGGCTGGGTGCGGTGGCTCACGCCACTAATCCCAGCACTTCGGGAGACCAAGGCAGGTGGATCACTTGAGGTCAGGCATTCAAGATCAGACTGGCCAACACAGCAAAACTGGGTCTCTACTAATAATACAAAAATTAGCCAGGCGTGGTGGTACATGCCTGTAGTCCCAGGTACTCGGGAGGCTGAGCAGGAAGAGAATAGCTTGAACCCAGGAGATGAAGGCTGCAGTGAGCCAACATTGCACTACTGCACTCCAGCCTGAGTGACAGAGTGAGACTCCGTCTCAAAAAATAAAAATTAAAATTAAAAATAAATATTTCTGTGACATGGGTCAAAAAAGAAAAATAAATAAATAAAACAGGCCAAGTGTGGTGGCTCACGCCTGTAATCCCAGCACTTTGGGAGGCCGAGGCGGGTAGATCGTCAAGTCAGGAGATGGAGACCATCCTGGCCAACATGGTGAAATCTCGTCTCTACTAAAAATACAAAAAAATTTAGCTGGGTGTGGTGGCGCACGCCTATAGTCCCAGCTACTCAGGAGGCCGAGGCAGGAGAGTTGCTTGAACCCAGGAGGTGGAGATTGCAGTGAGCGGAGATCACGCCACTGCACAATAGTCTGGGCAACAGTGCAAGACTCTGTCTCAAAAAAAAAATTAAAAATAAATAAAATAAAATATTGTTAATTGGCACATCACGACTTTCCGAATTTTTACTATTTCCATGAAACCCGGAGAAGAGGGCTCCGGCCTGGACCCTGGAGGTGCAAACGCAGGCGTCCTGAATACCTGCGACAGGCATTAGAATTGTTGCATACTCAACACACATCCATAGCGCAACGTACTGAAAACAGCGGGTGGAGAGGTGCAGGCCTCCGCATTTGCCAAAGAACTCCAGGGTTAAACGGGGCTGCCAGGGCTGGGCGAGGAGGCTGCACATGTGCTGGGCTCAGCCTGGCTGATTTTAGAGCCTTACCGGGCTAAAGGGCCCTCTCCCGAGCTCCTCATCCTTCATCCCTCCTGTTTTTGGCGCTGTCTTCCTGGATTTTGCAAACTGGGGAACAAACCTCTCAACTGAGTTCTGTAAACCGGATACAAAAAGGACAAAATGGCAGTAAAGATAAGGGAGGAATGAGGTCTCAGGAAGAAAGCAACCCTGAACCCTTCCTTTCTTACAGCCGCAGAGCACTCTGCCCTTGCCCTCCAGGCACCTTCCCTGCAGCCCCTGTAGACGGTGAGTGAGCAGTTGCTGACAATGAAGGGAAACACAGAGCCGGAACTTTAAGGGAGGCTTCTACATCCTCGAGGCCACAGGACAGGCTCACCTGGGAAGGAGGAAGGGCAGCTGGCTCCTTTTCTGGTTGATGGAGGAGACTGCAGGGAGCTCCTGTTTCCTCGTTGTGGGAGCTGTGTAGGAAAAGAGAAAACTGAGGGGGATCTGAAGTCCTCCTAGGCTGTGTCTCACATATTAAGATAAACACAAAACAAATCCAAGAGGAAACTGGTGCTAACAGTCTCCTAGCCTGGGTGAGGTGGTTCATGCCTTTAATCTCAGCACTGTGGGAGGCTGAGGCAGGTGGATGCCCAGGAGTTTAAGACCAGGCTGGGCAACATAGTGAGACCCCATTTCTACAAAAAATTTAAAAATTAGCTGAACATAGTGCTATGTGTCTGTGGTCTCAGCTATCTGGGAGGCTGAGATGGGGGTATCATCTGAGCCAGGGAAGTCTGAGGCTGCAGTGAGCTATGATCATACCACTGCACTCCAGCCTGGGTGACAGAGCAAGACCCTGTTTCAAAAAAAAAAAAAAAAAAAAAAAAAGTCTGCTAAGTCTGCTAGATGGAAGGCCCTGGAAAGCCTGCTTTAAAAGGGTAGGACAGAGATGGAGAAGCAGTGACCTGAAAACATTTAACTGGCAAGGAGGGTACAGAGTCCCACCTGGAGGATACACTGCTCTTATAATCCCAGGAACTGCCTACTGAGCTGGGAAGCGGTATATTCTCACTTGGACAGGCACTCCGGCCCTGACACAGCACATTCTAGGGAGAGAAAATTATGGATGCAAGAAACATACGGTCTCTAAAAACTAGTGAAATTTAGGGTTACATTAAAATAAACATGGGCCAGGTGCACTGGCTCACATCTGTGATCCCAGCACTTTGGGAGGCCAAGGTGGGCAGATCACTTGAAGTTAGGAATTTGAGGACAACATTGAAATCCCATCTCTACTAAAAACACAAAAATTAGTCAGGGGTGGTGGTGCATGCCTGTAATCCCAGCCTCTCGGGAGGCTGAGACAGGAGAACTGCTTAAACTCGAGGTGGAGGTTACAGTGAGTCAAGGTGGAGGTTACAGTGAGCCGAGATGGCACCACTGCACTCCAGCTTGGGTGACAGAACAAGACCCTGTCTCAAATTTTAAAAATTAAATAAATATGGACATACATATCGTTTTGTTTTGGCTAATTATTTTATTTCTTGTGGATATGGGGTCATCCTTGCTATGTTACACAGGCTCCTCTCAAACTCCTGAGCTCAAGCGATCCTCTCGCCTCAGCCTCCCAAAGTGCTGGGATTACAGGCATGAGCCATTGCACTCAGCGCTGATTGTTTTTCTTTTCTTTTCTCTTCTTTTTTTTGAGACTGAGTCTCACTCTGTAGCCCAGGCTGGAGTACAGTGGCACCTTCTTGGCTCACTGCAACCTCTGCCTCCCAGGTCCCAGTTCAAGCAATTCTCCTGCCTCAGCCTCCAGAGTAGCTGGGATTACAGGCATGCACCACCATGCCCAGCTAATTTTTGTATTTTTAGTAGAGACGGGGTTTCACCATCTTGGTCAGGTTGGTCTTGAACTCCTGACCTCGTGATCCACCCACCTCAGCCTACCAAAGTGCTGGGATTACAGGTGTGAGCCACCGTGCCCAGCCCCAATTGTTTTTCTTTTTTATTGGTTGTTAGTTCACATACCAACAACTCCTTTGTTCCCTTCTTGATTAAGGAGGAAGAGGAGGAATGTAGGAGGTGGATGGATTTGACGAGCAGACAGAATATGAGATACAGAATATGAATTCCGTAATCTTGAAAACTTCAATATTATCTTTACCCACATTTAAAACATCAACCCTTCTTTTTTTCTTTTTTTTTTTTTCAGATGGAATCTCGCTCTGTCGCCCAGGCTGCAGTGCAGTGGCATGATCTCGGCTCACTGCAATTTCTGCCTCCTGGGTTCAGTTGATTCTCCTGCCTCAGGCTCCCGAATATCTGGGATTACAAGTGCGCCACCACACCTGGCTAATTTTTGTATTTTTAGTAGAGACAGGGTTTTACCATGTTGGCCAGGCTGGTTTCAAAGTCCTGACCTCAAGTGATCTGCCCGCCTTGGCCTCCCAAAGTGCTGGGATTACAGGTGTAAGCCACCCTTGCCTGGCCAAAACACCAACCCTTCTCGCCAGCGGGAAGGCTAGAAGTGAGACCCCAGGGCCCTGAGCTCCAGGACGGAGTGGGTCACAGCACTAGATGTGTTGTGGGTCTCCTTCCCAAAGCACTGCTGTCTGCTCAGCTTCTGTGCTATGTGGACTGTCAGGGGGGAGACCTGCTGGAATGTTCGGAGCCACCTACCTGGAGACCGCCTTTCCTGGTTCCTCCCCGTGCTGCTGTGTAGAGGAAACAGGTCCCAGCTTGCCCTCCAGCACCTCGGGGTGATGCAAACAGCCCAGTGTGGAACTCTGGAGGTCCCCATCAGAGTCTTCTAGCCTTGGGTTCTTTAGGGGTTTTGAAGGACAGATTCCTTCTTCTGGTTTAGAGATAGAGGGGGATGAAGGGGTGGGGGATACAGCGTGTGTACTGCCATGGCTGACAACCAAACACAGCAAAGCTGCTGCCATCTTGAAAGAAAGCAGACTCATTCCAAGGGCATGAAACCCCTGCTCTGAAGCTCACCTGATGAGCGAGAGAGGGGCTGGAACCCCCCCCAAAGGTGGGACTTACGAGCTTATACGGCCATGAGATTCAAAGGCTTTTGCCTATGGACTGGCCATGGCTGAGGCTGAACCAGGAGGTGGCCTGATCTGGCTCCAGATCACATGGAAGAACATGGCTGGCCAACTCTCTCTCTGGGAAAGTGGTAAGAGGCGCATAATGGGTCCCAGCCCCAACAACCCTGCAGAGGGTCCATTCCTGATTGCTCTACTGGACTCATGAAAGGGATTTCATGAGTCCATCTTCTACACTTCTCAGCTTTTCTGCAAGTATCTGATGTCCTGGGTCACCTCTTGTCTCCTCCACTACAACCAGGATGCACTCAAGAAGAGGCCAAATCCATCTCACTCTCTGCGGGGTCCCAAGTTCCTGTAAGAGCAACTTGTACACCGTTGGCGTTCAACACTTAGCACATGAGTCGATAAATGCACACCACCAAATGCAGACAAGACTAAACTATGTAGTACTCCAGCGTTCTGAGACCTCTGCGAAGTAGCCCTCCTGGGAAAACTGGGACCCGCAGCGACCGGGCACTGAAGAGGCGAAGCTTTAGCCACCTCCTGGCCCCTTGCGTTTCTGCACTAACTTCCTCATCACTACAAGCAATTGTGATGTGTCTTCTTCCAGCATCTGAGAGGCTAAAGATGCTTACTGACATCTTTGTATATATAACACAGTGGCTCATGCCTGTAATCCCAGCACTTTGGGAGGCCGAGGTGGGTGGATCAACTAAGGTCAGGAGTTCGAGACCAGCCCGGTCAACATGACGAAACCTTGTCTTTACTAAAAATACAAAAATCAGTGGGGTGTGGTGGCAGGCGCCTGTAGTCCCAGCTACTCGGGAGGCTGAGGCAGGAGAATCGCTTGAGCCCGGGAGGCGGAGGTTACAGTGAGCCAAGATAGCGGCGCTGCACTCCAGCCTGGGTGACAGCGAGACTCAGTCTCAAAAAACAAAAATAATAATTAATATATATTATATATTATATGTAAAAATACATATGTATTTGTGTTAACATATAAATACATATACAACACATAATTATATTATTCATATTATATATTTACAATATATATTCATATATCATAAAACTTATATGCTTATATATTTATATGTGATACACTATATTAAATACTTATTAAATATATACTATAACTATTATATATCACATTATATTGCCAGGTTGTTCCCTGTGCTCTAAAGCCAGGCCATGCCACCTCAGGATTCAGCCTCAGCCAAATATGTAAATATACATATATTTATACTGAATACATAAAGGATACATAATATATATTTGTATATATTATAGAGAATATATTCATTTTATATGGAATATTTAATATATATTTTATGTTTATATATTTTATACAGAATATGGAATATACATTTTGTTTACATATTTTATACATGAAAATACATTTTATGTATAAAACATATTCATATGTGTATTTCTGTATTATATATAACATATATATAATTTTTCTTCTTTGAGACAGGATCTCACGTGGTTTCCCAGGCTGGAGCGCACTGATGCAGCTGTGGCCCACTGCAGTCTCGCCCTCCTGAGCTCATGCCCTCCTCCCACCTCAGGCCCCTCAGGTAGCTGGGACAACAGGTGTGTGCCACCATGCCTGGCTAAGTTTTTGTTTGTTTGTTTTGTAGAGACAGGGTCTCACTATGTTGCCCAGGCTGGTCTCGAACTCTGGGGCTCAAGCGATCCTCCTGTCTCAGCCTCCCAAAATGCTAGAATCACAGGCATAAGCCACCTTGCCTGGCCAGCATCTATTTTTTGAATGAAGAAAATTCCCCTACACAGAAACTTTCAATAGCAGCTGGCTTGCTAGACTTCCTCAAACCTGGCCCCAACCTAGTCATGTATTCAGTGAACAAATGATAAGCGTTGACTCTAGTGAGTTCCACACCAGATGCCATCCTAAGAACTTGTGTGTGTTAAGATAAAAGCTCAAGGCAGGGTGCTGCTGTTACGCCTGCCTTCAGAAGTAACCTTGAGCAATTTAGTATTATCTTCGCCCATGATTAAAATATCAGCCTTTGGCCAGGCTCGGTGGTTCACGTCTGTAATCCCAGCACTTTGGGAGGCCAATGTAGGTGGATCATGAGGTCAGGAGATCGAGACCATCCTGGCCAACATGGTGAAACCCCATCTCTACTAAAATACAAAAAAAAACTAGGTGGCGTGTGCCTGTAGTCCCAGCTACTTGGGAGACTGAGGCAGGAGGACTGCTTGAACCCAGGAGGTTGCAGTGAGCCATGATTGTGCCACTGCACTCAGGCCTTGGGAACAGAGTTAGATCCTGTCTCTAAAAAAATAAAAATAAAAAATAACACTACCCAAACCCCAGGTGGACTCTTTCCAACCTCAGCTCTGCACTACACACACATCTTTTTTTTCTTTTTTTTTTTTTTTTTTTGAGACGGAGTTTCGCTCTTGTTACCCAGGCTGGAGTGCAATGGTGCGATCTCAGCTCACCGCAACCTCCGCCTCCTGGGTTCAAGCAATTCTCCTGCCTCAGCCTCCTGAGTTGCTGGAATTACAGGCACGTGCCACCATGCCCAGCTAATTTTTTGTATTTTTAGTAGAGACGGGGTTTCACCATGTTGACCAGGACGGTCTCGATCTCTTGACCTCGTGATCCACCCGCCTCAGCCTCCCAAAGTGCTGGGATTACAGGCTTTAGCCACCGCGCCCGGCTACACACACATCTTGAAGTAAATCTACTGAACGAGCTTCCTTTCCCTCCATGCCAGTTGCTAGGGTCTGTCTCAGTCCTCACTCAGCTGTTTCCTCCACTAAACCACAGCAATCTTCCTATAATTGCTTCTAATTCTTTTTTTTTTTTTTTTTTTTTTCAGATGGACTCGCTCTGTCCACCAGGCTGGAGTGCAGTGGCACAATCTTACCACACGGCAACCTCCGCCTCCCAGGTTCAAGCAATCCTCCTGCCTCAGCCTCCCAAGTAGCTGGGACTATGGGTGCAACCCAAGATGCCTAGTTAATTTTTTGTATTTTCAGTACAGACAGTTTTTCACCATGTTGACCACACTGGTTTTGAACTCCTGATCTCAAGTGATCTGCCCGCCTTGGCCTCCTAAAGTGTTGGGATTGCAGGCGTGAGCCACAGCGCACGGCCAGTTGCTTGTAATTCTGTCAGTTACAGTTCAGGGGTGCCCATTTAGAACTTTATCCCAGTGCTGTGTATTTGCGTAGCTCTCCCAGGGCGAAGGAAAATCCTCCTGGAGGAGGATCTCCAGGGCAGGAACTGAGTCTGCTGCATCCTTTGATCTCCTCCTCGCCCTGCCCCACCCACTTAGATGCCCACCTCAAAGGACGCAGCACCCCAAGGAAGGCTTGGATGGATGTTGCTTACAGAAACACATTCCTACCATCAGGGTGAGGTAGCTCACACCTGTAATCTCACTACTTAGGGAGGGGGAGGTGGGTGAATCACTTGAGGTCAGGAGTTCAAGACTAGCCTGGCCAACATACTGAAACCCTGTCTCTACTACAAATAGAAAAAATTAGCCAGGTGTGGTGGCAGGCACCTTAGTCCCAGCTACTTAGGAGGCTGAGGCAGGAGAATTGCTTGAACCTGAGAGGTGGAGATTACAGGGGGCTGAGATCGCACCACAGTACTCCAGCTTGGGTGACAGAGCAAGACTCTCTCACACACACACACACACAAAGAACACATTCCTACCTTGTGGTCTGCCAGAAAAGACAAAATATAGCTGCTTTGTTTATTTGGTTTCTTGAGATTCTCAAACACTTGCTCACTTGGCTGACTGAATGGTCATTTGTACCAAATAAAAAGGGAAAAAAATACCAAGGGCATTGAAGAGTCTTCTCTTTCCTTCCTGTGATCTGTCCACATGGGACTAATTTAAGAAAAATTAAGGCAGAACTTTGTGTTCAACACCAAAGACCGAAGACACTGAGAGGGAAAAGGCCTCTTTCACCACCTGCCAGAATCTTCTTCCTCTCTCTCCACCCTTCCAGCACACACAGAAAGGGCCGTGTAGGACCAGCCCAGAGGTCCACTGAGCTGGGGAGTCTACCGCCAACAGAGGCCCCAAGTGACCTGCTGTGGGTGGGCCTGGCTGTCCCCAGCTTTCCCCTCCAAGGTCAGAGAAATTCTGGTGCCTCTAAGCAGCCTGTTGCTCATCTCTGCACGAAACATGTTCAATCTGCTGATCATTTCCTCCTCTTCTCCACAACTTGGGGGAAAAAAATGAACACCATTCCCTAAATTCATCAGCCACTAAATTAGAAAGTCATTTCAAAATAAAGAAGAAATTTAAGTTACTTTAGAAAATGATAGGCAAATGGAACTCTACTATATCATACTGGGAGTTTATCTAACTTGGTTTGTTCCTTTTGGTTTTTTAGACAGCATCTCATTCTGTCGCCCAGGCTGGAATGCAGTAGTGTGATTTCAGCTCTCCCCGGCTCAAGCAATTCTCGTGACTCAGCCTCCCAAGTAGTTGGGACTACAGGCACCTGCCACCATGCCCAGCTAATTTTTTGTATTTTTAGTAGAGACAGGGTTTCACCGTGTTAGCCAGGATGGTCTCAATCTCCTGACCTTGTGATCGCCCGCCTCGCTCTTCCAAAGTGCTGGGATTACAGGCATGAGCCACCACACCTGGCTGATGTTTTTCTTTTCAAATTAAGAAATTATATAGGTATATTGACAAGTAAACATGGTCATGATACACTGCAAAGTAAAAAATGGAGGTTGCAGGTCCGTATGTGTAATAATTGTATTTTTTTTTTTTTTTTTTTTTTTTTTGAGACGGTGTTTCGCTCTTGTTACCCAGGCTGGAGTGCAATGGCACGATCTCGGCTCACCGCAACCTCCGCCTCCTGGGTTCAGGCAATTCTCCTGCCTCAGCCTCCTGAGTAGCTGGGATTACAGGCACGCGCCACCATGCCCAGCTAATTTTTTGTATTTTTAGTAGAGACGGGGTTTCACCATGTTGACCAGGATGGTCTCGATCTCTCGACCTCGTGATCCACCCGCCTCGGCCTCCCAAAGTGCTGGGATTACAGATAATTGTATTTTCTAATAAAAAAAAAAACTTTATCTGGGCCAGGCACAGTGGCTCACGCCTGTAATCCTTGGGAGGCAAAGGCAGGCAGACCCCTTGAAGTCAGGAGTTCAAGAGCAGCCTGGCCAACATGGTGAAACCCCATTTCCACTAAAAATACAAAAATTAGCCAGGTATGGTGGCACACATCTGTAATCCCAGCTACTTAGGAGGCTGAGGCGTGAGGATCACTTGAACCCAGGAGGCAGAGGTTGCAATGAACCAAGATTGGGCCACTGCACTAGAGCCTGGGTGACAGTGAGACTCTCTTTCCAAAATAAATAAAAATAAAAAAACAAAAACCCCAACACTGTATCTGTATATATACAGAAAAAGTCTGACCAGGTGCGGTGGCACACACCTGTAATTCTTAGCACTTTGGGAGGTCAAGGCAGATGGACTGCTAGAGCCCAGAAGTTCAACTGCAGCCTGGGCAACATAGCAAGACCTCGTCTCTTCCAAAAAATACAAAAATTAGCCAGGCGTAGTGGTACACACCTGTAGTCCCAGCTATTCAAATGGCTGAAGTGGGAGGATCACCTGAGCCTGGGGAGGTGGAGGCTGCAGTAAGCTATGATTGCATCACTGCTCTCCAGCCTGGGTGACAGAGCAAGACTCTGTCTTGAAAAAAAGGAAAGAAAAAAAAATCTGGGTGTGGTGGCTCACGCCTGTAATCCCAGCACTTTGGGAGGCTGAGGTGGGCAGATCACGTGAGGCCAGGAGTTCGAGACCAGCCTGAGCAACACAGTGAAACCCTGTCTCTACTAAAAATACAAAAATTATTCAGGCGTAGTGGCACATGCCTGTAATCCCAGCTACTCAGGAGAGTGAGGTAGGAAAATCGTTTGAACCCAGGAGGTGGAAGCTGCAGTGAGCTGAGGTTGTGCCCCTGCACTACAGCCTACATGACAGAGTGAGACTCTGTTTTCCAGCATGTTGGGATGCTGAGATGGGCAGATCACCTGAGGTCGAAAGTTTAAGACCAGCCTGACCAACATGACAAAACCCTGTCTCTACTAAAAAAAAATACCAAAATTGGCCGGGCGCGGTGGCTCACGCCTGTAATCCCAGCACTTTGGGAGGCTGAGGCGGGTGGATCACGAGGTCAAGAGATCGAGACCATTCTCATCAACATGGTGAAACCCCGTCTCTACTAAAAATACAAAAATTAGCTGGGCATGGTGGCGCACGCCTGTAGTCCCAGCTACTCGGGAGGCTGAGGCAGGAGAATTGCCTGAACCCAGGAGGCGGAGGTTGCGGTGAGCTGAGATCGCGCCATTGCACTCCAGCCTGGGTAACAAGAGTGAAACTCCGTCTCAAAAAAAAAAAAAAAAAAAATACAAAAATTAGCTGAGTGTGGTGGCAGGCACCCATAATCCCAGCTACTTGGGAGGCCGAGGCAGGAGAATTGCTCGAACCTAGGAGGTGGAGGTTGCAGTGAGCCAAGATCGTGCCAGCGTACTCCAGCCTGGGCAATAAGAGCAAAACTTCATCTCAACAACGAAAAGCCGAGAAGTAGTGTACCGAGGTTAGAGTCCTGTCCTGTTTCTTGTGCTGTTCTACAATTGATCATCGTCCTATGGCTGTGCTAGCTGTTAACATTAGGGAAAGCTTGGGGAAGGGTAGCTAGAACTCTCTGAATTATTTCTGCAACTTTTCAGTAAGTCCCAAATCACTTCAAAATAAAAGGTTTTTTTTTTTTTTTTTTTTTTTTTTTTGAGACCGAGTTTCGCCCTTGTTACCCAGGCTGGAGTGCAATGGCGCGATCTCGGCTCACCGTAACCTCCGCCTCCTGGGTTCAGGCAATTCTCCTGCCTCAGCCTCCTGAGTAGCTGGGATTACAGGCACGTGCCACCATGCCCAGCTAATTTTTTGCACTTTTAGTAGAGACGGGGTTTCACCATGTGGACCAGGATGGTCTCGATCTCTTGACCTCGTGATCCACCCGCCTCGGCCTCCCAAAGTGCTGGGATTACAGGCTTGAGCCACCGCGCCCGGCAAAAGTTTTTTTAAAAGCCTGGAAGAATAATTGTTAACAGCAGCACACATTTGTGTCCTACCTTAGGTCAGTTCTGGGTGCTTCACAGATACTAATCCACATGTGAGCTCTAAGGGCAGGATCCTCCACTTTGGGGGACATTTGGGGCTGGATCATTCTTTGTGGTTGGGAGCATGCTATGTATGGTAGGATATCTGAGTAGCATCCCTGGCCTCCACCCACTAGATGTCAGTATCTTTTCCTGTTATGAAAACCAAAAGTGGTGGCTCACACCTGTAATACCAGTACTTTGGGAGGCCAAGGTGGGTGGATCGCCTGAGGTCAGGAGTTCGAGACCAGCCTGGTCAACATTGGGAAACCCTATCCCTACTAAAAATACAAAAATTAGCCAGGCATGGTGGTGCACATCTGTAGTCCCAGCTGCTCAGGAGGCTGAGGCTGGAAAATCACTGGAACCCAGGAGGTGGAGGCTGCAGTGAGCTGAGATTGTGCCACTGCACTCCTGGACAACAGAGTAAGACTCCATCTCCAATTTAAAAAAAAGCACCTAAACATTTCCACTGTCCCTTGGGGGCAAAATCCCTTCCTCTCGCCTACTAGAGAACCACTGCACTAAAGGAAAGAGCAGTGGCTTTATTGTCCCCAATTTATAAAAGGGGAAACTGAGGCACAGAGGAACTCATCCACCATCACACAGTGAGCAGAACTGGGATGTACCCAGGTTTTGAGCCCCAGAGTAAAACACTCAGCCACATACCAGGTGGCCTTGTAGTACATCAAACACTATTCCAGGGGTCATCTCTGGGACTGGTCCAGCAGGGAGGCTGTCCCGCTGCCTGAAGCCCCGGGAGGCCTCCTCTAAGCTGTGGACCCCACCAGAGGCTTGCAAAAGCTCTAGAAAACTTTCACTTTTCCCTTTATACCCTCTCCGTTATTTCTATTTTTCTTTCTTTCCTTTTTTTTTCTTTTTGCCGGCATAACAAAACACTGTTTTTTGTTTGTTCGTTTGTTTGAGACAGGACCTCACTCTATCAGCCAGGCTGGAGTGCTGCGGTGCAATCTTGACTCACTGCAATATCCACCTTCTGGTTCGAGCGATCTTCCTGCCTCAACCTCCCAAGCAGCCGGGACTACAGGTGCCCACCACCACACCTGGCTAATTTCCTTATTTTTTGTAGATACAGGGTCTCACTATGTTGCCCAGGCTGGTCTTGAACTCCTAGACTCAAGTGACTTGGCCTCCCAAACTGTTGGGATTACAGGTGCATACCACCACGCCTGGCTAATTTTTGTATTTTTAGTAGAGACTGGATTTCACCATCTTGGCCAGACTGGTCTCGAACTCCTGATTTCAAGTGATTCGCCTGCCTTGGCCTCTCAAAGTCCTGGGATTACAGGTTATGAGCCACCACACCTGGTTAATTTTTTTTTCAATTTACTTTCTCTCCTTAAAAGAAAACAAGGATTGGCCCGGTGCTATGGCTTGTGCCTATAACCCTAGCACTTTTGAAGGCTGAGGTGGGAAGATCACAAGGTAAGGAGCTTGGGATGGTTGTGTTAGCTAGATGTGCAATAAATAAGCCTGCAGCTTCCCAGAAGCAGAAGCAGAAATCAAGAAACAACATACCTGAGTTCCCCAGCTTCCTCTTAGTCATTTTCTCTTCCCCTTGAAAAATCTGAAAACAAACAAAATCTCTCATCATTATAAGCAGTCCCTGTCTCTGTCTATATCCAGTGGCCTTGGCTGAGGGCAGAGGTTACCCCCATCTGCACCTCAGCCCATTTGGCTAACCCAGGGTCAGATGGCCCCCATTGGGACACAGAGTTACAGCCACTTTGGGCCATGAACGGTTAGGAATTCAAATCCCCACGCTGTAGATCTTATGCCCAGGACCTGAAAGGCATATGCTCCCTGGGAGCTCCTAATGGGAAGCTCCGGGACCCAGACTCTGGTCCCTGAAATGAAATAGCCTGTGTGAAGCCCCTCCCTCTAGACTGGGGTATCTGGGAGCCCTCCCAAGAACACTCGAGGGGCTTCTGGGGCCTTTTGAGACCAGCCTAGCCAATATGGTGAAAGCCCATGTCTACTAAAAATACAAAAATTAGGCTGGGTGCGGTAGCTTGTGCCTGTAATCCCAGCACTTTGGGAGGCGGAGGTGGGTGGAAAACAAGGCCAGGAGTTCAAGACCAGCCTGGCCAACTTGATGAAACCCCGTCTCTACTAAAAATACAAAAATTAGCCAGGTGTGGTGGTGTGTGCCTGTAATCCCAGCTACTCGGGAGGCTGAGGCAGGAGAATTCCTTAAACCCGGGAGGTGGAGGTTGCAGTGAGCTGAGATTGCACTCTAGCCTGGGTAACAGAGTCAAAAAAAAAAAAAAAAAAAAAAAAAATTTAGGCTGGGCAAAGGGGCTCACGCCTGTAATCTCAGCACTTCGGGAGGCTGAGGTGGGCGGATTACTTGAGGTCAGGGACTCGAGACCAGCCTGAACTATACACTGAAACCCCGTCTCTACTAAAAGTACACCAATAAGCTGGCCATTGAGGCACATGCCTGTAATCCCAGCTACTCGGGAGGCTGAGGCAGGAGAATCGCTTGAACCCAGGAAGCGGAGATGGCAGTGAGCCGGGATCACACCACTGCACTCCAGTCTGGGGCGACAGAGCAAGACACCGTCTCAAAAAAAAAAAAGGCCAGGCGTGGTGGCTCACGCCTGTAATCCTAGCACTTTGGAGGCTAAGGCGGGCGGATCACCTGAGGTCGGGAGTTCAAGACCAGCCTGACCAACATGGTGAAAGCCCTTCGTAAAAAAAAAAAAAAAAAAAAAAGCCAAGCGTCGTGGCACACATCCATAATCCCAGCCACTCAGGAGGCTGTGGCACCAAGACCTCTTGGACCCAGAAGGCAGAGGTTGCAGTGAGCCAAGATCACGCCACTTTTTTTTTTTTTTTTTTTTTTTGAGACGGAGTTTCACTCTTGTTACCCAGGCTGGAGTGCAATGGCGCGATCTCGGCTCACCGCAACCTCCGCCTCCCGGGCTCAGGCAATTCTCCTGCCTCGGCCTCCTGAGTAGCTGGGATTACAGGCACACGCCACCATGCCCAGCTAATTTTTTGTATTTTTAGTAGAGACGGGGTTTCACCATGTTGACCAGGATGGTCTCGATCTCTCGACCTCGTGATCCACCCGCCTCAGCCTCCCAAAGTGCTGGGATTACAGGCTTGAGCCACCGCGCCCGGCTGATCACGCCACTTTTAAAGGGAACAGCTGGGTCCTCGGAGGGCAAGAGCTACCACAGGCTGGTTTCTCCCAGCCTTGGGGGCCAGGCAAGCCCAAACCGACCTGGGCCACAGAAGTCGTCGAGGACCCACTGTCCTTACCAGAAACGAGCTCTGCCCGGATCCGCTGGCAATACGTGGCTTAAATTATCCGCGTTACCATTTTCGGAAAAAATAAATGGCCAAACCGGCCCTCACAGAAACCCGGAGGCTCAGTCGGGAGCTGAAGGATCAAAAATCCCGAGGGTGGGCCCTGTGGATCCCACTCCCGGTGACAGGCCCCACACTGACACTACGCGGACCACCGAAAAGTGAGGAACCCACAGCCCGAGAGCCCACGTGAAGCCGGAGCCCGTCGGTGCCTGCGGGACGCCGTGAACTAAACAGAGGTCGCCGCCGCTCACACCTGCGCGCGCCTTGCTTCTTTCCCGCGCTCCGCGAGGCCCCGCCCTGCGCATGCGCAACACGAAGGCCATCGCGCAGCCCGCGACACTGCGCATCGCCCCCACCAAGCGCATGCGCGCCCTCGCACTGTCTGCCGGGAGTTGTAGTTTCGGCGCAGTGGACCCGGCGAGTCCAGTGGCCGCGCTCCGGTGCTGCGGCGCCCGAGGCCCGAGGCGGAAGTGCGGCGGCCAAGCAGGGAGGCGAGGGTTCGGGATCCACGGCCGCGGGGCGCTGACGAGGGGTGCAGGACTCAGGAAGGGCACGTGCGCGGCGACAGGGCCCGGGGAAGGAGGCAGAGCAAGGCCGGGCTTGGGGGCCGGTGGTCCGGGCATCCAGCCTGGAAGATGCACAAGAGGAAAGGACCCCCGGGACCCCCGGGCAGAGGCGCCGCGGCCGCCCGCCAGGTGAGTCTGCGCCCCACGGCCCGACCTGAGGATCCCTCCCCACCCCCGATACAGACGCTCAGGGAAGAGCCCCACCCCCCGGGGAAGCCCGATCTCCGCCCCCCAGGTGAGCCCCGGTCCCCGCCCGTCCCAAGCGAGACTCCAACCACCACCTCCCCCAACAAGGGTGGCCTACAGGCCTTGGCTCCCCAGCTTCTGGGGCTCCGCCCCGGGTTCGGGGCCACCTGTTGCCGCAGCAGCTCCAGTCAGGGAGGGGCAGTCCTCGGACTTGGCACATCAAAGCCTTGCGTCAGTCGGGCCCTGTGAAGACTCTTTTTATTCCATTATACAGATGAGGACTTTTGAGACTCAGAGACGTGAAGATATCTGCCCAAGGTCATAGGGATTAACAGCTTGGCCAGAGCTAAGCTCAAATCCAGGGCTGCAGCCATAAGCTCATGGCACTGTGGCTGGGCCCCTTCTCCCTTTCCCAACTCCCCTGCCCCAGGCACCAGGAAGTTTGATTTTTCTCATTTTCAATGGAAGGAGCCCAGGGCATAGCTTGCTGTTCAGATTATTAGTCTGGCTGACCTGAAGTTCCCTCCTGGCCTCTGCATATTGAACCCTTGACTTCACGGCTCTGAGCCTCAGCTTTCTTATCTGTAAAATGGAGACCTCTGTAATCCCAGCACTTCAGTAGCAGAGGCGAAGGCAGAAGACTCACTTGAGGCCAGAGTTCGAGACCAGCCTGGGCAAAAGTGAGACCCCCCCATCTCAACAAAAAATAAAAAAAATTTAGCTGTGCATGGTGGCATTTGCCTGTAGTCCTAGGTACTTGGGAGGCTCAGAAGGGACAATCGCTGGAGCCCAGGAGTTGAAGACCACAGTGAGCTGTGATCTCACTGCCTGTACTCCAGCCTGGGTGACAGAACAAGACTCTTTCTCTAAAATAAAAATAAAAAATGGAGGCCGGGTGCGGTGTCTCACGCCTGTAATCCCAGCACTTTGGGAGGCCACAGCAGGCAGATCACCTGAGGTCAGGAGTTCGAGACCAGCCTAGCCAACCAACGTGGTAAAACACCGTCTCTGCTAAAAATACAAAAATTAACTGGGCATGGTGGTGGGCACCTGTAAACCCAGCTTCTTGGGAGGCTGAGGTGGGAGAATCGCTTGAACTCGGGAGGCGGAGTTTGCAGTGAGCTGAGATCTCACCACTGCATTCCAGCCTGGGTGACAGAGCGAGACTCCTTCCCAAAATAAATAAATAAATAAATAAATAAAGGAGACCTCCAAGAGACCCTACATTACAGGACAATTGTAAAGATTCATAGCGATAGTTTATGGAAAGTGCTGGCACATAACATTCAGTAAATGTTACTATTATCATTATTAGCAGTTGGTAGAGCCATACATAACTGCCAATATTTGGCCATTTTCTACCTACAGGAAAGGCGATTTCATATAGTTAAACACAGTGTTATCACATCATGATTGGTCATTAACCAAGCTAGGAAAAGGCCCTACTTCCAACTCATACATTGTCGTCAGGCCTTCTTTTTATTTATTTATTTTTTGAGACAGAGTCTTGCTCTGCTGCCCAGGCTGGAGTGCGTTGGCTCAATCTTGGCTCACTGCAACCGCCACATCCTGTGTTCAAGCAATTCTCCTGCCTCAGCCTCCCGAGTAGCTGGGATTAAAGGCATGTCCTGCCACAACTGGCTTATTGTTGTGTTTTTAGCAGAAGTAGGGTTTCACCATGTTGGCCAGGCTGGTCTCGAACTGCTGACCTCAGGTGATCCGCCCACCTCAGCCTCCCAAAGTACTGGGATTACAGGAGTGAGCCACCACACCTGGCCCTTTCCATCAGGTCTTCTAATTGCTCTTTATTTACTTATTTATTTTTTTTTTTTGAAGACAGTCTTGCTCTGACACCCAGGCTAGAGTTCAGTAGTGCGATCTCAGCTCACTGCAACCTCCACCTCCCAGGTTCAAGCAATTCTTCTACCTCAGCTTCCTGAGTAGCTGGGATTGCAGACACCCGCCACCATGCCCAGCTAATTTTTGTATCTTTAGTAGAGATGGGGTTTCACCATGTTGGCCAGGCTGGTCTCAAACTCCTGACCTCAGGTGACCCACCTGACTCAGCTTCCCAAAGTGCTGGGATTACTGGAGGGAGCCACTGTGCCCGGCCATCAGGGCTTCTAATTGCTCTTGAAGCTCTGACCTTCCCACACCGCCCCCTCTGCTGAGGATGCTAGAAAGAAAAGCCCAACTGTACAGAGTAGCTTTGCTTTGGGCAAAGTGTGGGGCCTACTTCTGCTTCTCTCCCTCCCTCCCTCCCTCCCTCTTTCTTTCCTTTCTTTCAATAGGGCTTCACTCTCTTGTCCAGGCCTAGTGCAGCAGCGCCATCGTGGCTCACTGCAGCCTTGACCTCCCCAGGCTCAAATGACCCTCCTGCCTCAGCCTCCCAAGTAGCTGGGACCACAGGCACACACCACCACTCCCAGCTAATTTCTTAAAAATTTTTTGTAGAGATGGGGGCTCACTGCATTGCCCAGGCTGGTCTGGAACTCCCAGACACAAGCCATCCTCCTACCCTGGCCTCCCATAGTGCTGGGATTACAGGCATGAGCCACTGCGTGCACTCAGGGGCCTGTTTTTCCCACTGAACTTAGCTCAGCAGCACATCGTAAGTACGGACTCAGAGCAGGGAGCTGGGTCTCTTGCCCTCTGCCCCAGGTTGAACTGTGCCAGAGGGCCTGGCCTGTCTTGGAACACCTGTTCTGGGCCTGTTCCAGCCTCCTGGCACTCGACAGGGAAACGGCTTTCCCCAGGAGACCTCGGTTCCTTCCTCCCTAAGGGACTCTGGGTCCGTCATGGCTGGGTCCATCCCAAGGTCTAACTGAACCCTTGCTGTCCCCCTAGCTGGGCCTGCTGGTTGACCTCTCCCCAGATGGCCTGATGATCCCTGAGGACGGAGTTAATGATGAAGAACTGGAGGCTGAGTTCTTGGCCTTGGTCGGGGGCCAGCCCCCAGCCCTGGAGAAGCTCAAAGGCAAAGGTGAGGTGGTTAACACACCCTCGGAACATTTTCTCATCTCCTGCAAGTGGCTTGGGCGCAGAACTGGGGGCACTGGGTAGGTAGGGGAAAGATGACAGAGAGGACCCCTGTTCTCCTGGAGCCCACAGTCTGGGGAAGAGGGTCAAGATCAACTCTGGGCCCAGCTCCATGCCACTTACTGGCCATGTGATCTGATGAGTCACATCACGTTGCGCTGGCCTCAGTTTCACCATCTGTAAAATTGGGATAATCACTATGTTACAGGAGTTAATCTTCTGGAGTCCATATTTCACCTGGGGCCTCTGTCATGTAATAAGCTCATGTCAGCCGCGCAGTGGCTCACACCTGTAATCCCAGCACATTGGGAGGCCAAGGCAGGCAGATGCCTTGAGTCCAGGAGTTCGAGATCAGCCTGGCTAACATGGCGAAACCCTGTCTCTACTAAAAGTACAAAAGTTAGCCAGGTTTGGTGGCGAACACCTGTAATCCCAGCACTTTGGGAGGCCAAGGTGGGGGGGATCACTTGAAGCCAGGAGTTTGAGACCAGCCTGGCCAACATGGCGAAACCCCGTCTTTACTAAAAATACAAAAATTAGCCGGGCTTGGTGGTGAACGCCTGTAATCCCAGCTACTCTGGAGGCTGAGGCAGGAGAATCACTTGAATCCAGGAGGCAGAAGTTGCGGTGAGTAGAGATTGTGCCACTGCACTCCAGCCTGAGCAACAGAGCAAGATCCCATCTCTAAAAAACAAGAGAGAAGCTTCATTGAGGCATGAATTACTGTGCTGTTGGCTGTGAGTTCAAAGTTAATGAATTAACAATATAGATTCAGTAAGTTGTCTTCAAACAGAAACATACAGAGCAAGCCGGGCGCGGTGGCTCAAGCCTGTAATCCCAGCACTTTGGGAGGCTGAGGCGGGTGGATCACGAGGTCAAGAGATCAAGACCATCCTGGTCAACATAGTGAAACCTCGTCTCTACTAAAAATACAAAAAATTAGCTGGGCATGGTGGCGCGTGCCTGTAATCCCAGCTACTCAGGAAGCTGAGGCAGGAGAATTGCCTGAACCCAGGAGGCGGAGGTTGCGGTGAGCCGAGATCGCGCCATTGCACTCCAGCCTGGGTAACAAGAGCGAAACTCCGTCTCAAAAAAAAAAAAAAAAAAAAAAAACATACAGAGCAAGGTTGTGTATTAATCAGTTGATTAACATGTTGTAACCAAGCCAGCCTCAGTGGCTCATGTCTATAATCCCAGCACTTTGGGAGGCTGAGGCAGGTGGATCACCTGAGGTCAGGAGTTTGAGACCAGTCTGACCAACATGGAGAAACCCCATCTCTACTAAAAATACAAAATTAGCTGGGTGTGGTGGTATATGCCTGTAATCCCAGCTACTCAGGAGGCTGAAGCAGAAGAATCGCTTGAACCTGGGAGTCAGAGGTTGCGGTGAGCCGAGATCACACCACTGCACTCTTGCCTGGGCAACAAGAGTGAAACTCCACCTCAAAAAACAAAAGAAAAAAAAATGTTGTGACTAGAGCTGGGTGTGGTGGCACATGCCCGTAGT